TATGAGCTATCAAGTTGCATAATATTTTGCATATATCTCTTAGTCAAATCACTCTGTTTTCCCTCAGTAATGCAAATAAGTTCTTCATCTAGGGTGTCAAAGACTTTTTTGATAGCATAGTCAACTCTACCTGTTGCTTCATCACCAGTGACTTCAAACTCAGGTTCCAGAGTGATTTTTTTTTTAGTGATTCTTTTAGCAATAATGAGACTTGCATGTAGTATTGTAGAAATGTATTCGCAACGCAAGGCTTCATTACTGCCTGTTGTTGAGCCTAAGTTGTCCATTTTACGTTTTATATCAGTCATGCAATATTGTAAATCTTCATCATTATCTTCAATTCCTTCCGTTTTTATAAAGTATACATAGGTTAGCCCTTCTAAAAAAAAAAAAAAAATAGGAAACTTTTCTGGTACGAATTTCGGGATCCTTCTTATATCTTTGTTATTAATTCCAAATTTCTCCAGCACCTTTTCAAAATCTTTCAGAGTTCTATATGACGAGTATGGCTTCAATTTTTTCTCTTTGACTTCTTTGGCAAAATCTTCTAGTCTTGTTGCAGGTCTACCCTTCATACCATAATCTCTATAATCTTGTTTGGTCATCTGAAGAAAATCACGACCAGTGATCTCTTCATTACAAATAATTTCAAAATGAGAATCGTTAAGTTCTAGATCCTCTTGCTCACGCAAAATTCAACAAGTTCATTCATATTATACTTTCGAACTATAGCTGATTGTGTGGAAGTGGATTTTTCCTCGCTTGTTGTAGAAGTAGAAGCTGGTGTGGATATGATTTATACAATATGCGATAAAGTTTCTGAATTGTTTATAATAAAAAAATTTTTTTGGTATATGTGAAAAATTCCTGTTCACAAACTTTTATATAGATATATGATGTGTGCCAATCTGATTGTTACAATAAACAAATTCATACATTTGCGAAAAAATTTCCAGAAATCCATTATTCTAGACTTTTGTAATATCTGAATGAAACCAGAGAAAATATCAACAACCATTTAAAAGAGAAATATTAATATAGAGAAATTATTGTTTTTAGTGATTCTGTTTTTATTGCGTTTTTCTAGTAAAATTATTCTTTATACAAATCATTAATAGTATTTTATGATATCAATACAAAGAGAGAATTCTTGGCAAAAGTGATTGGTATGAACAATTTAATTGTCGATCAAAAAAAAATCTATTAATTAGGTTGATATTCAAATATATATTTATAATTAGTTATAAGTAATTATTAAATGGTTATTGAATCTTAACTAATTATTAATGGATCTAAATATTAATTGAATCATTTAATCAGATCTTAACTAAACCTTAAATAATTAATAATTAGACTTCTGTCACATCATAGTTTCTAACATTCTCACGTGATGCTCTGTTATTATAAACCCTATACATATGTGAAATTTAAAAAAATAAAATAACTTTATTGATGTTAATATGTATTTTTGCATTGCAAATAT